CTTTCAAGAGTGTTGAATCCAGGAAGAAAGTGTAGAGGTTCCTTTACCACAAGGGGAAATTTTAATTCTTATCTTGCATTTATACTTTTATGTGTGAATCAACAACTTCCTCAGGTTTGGTACCTAGATTTTCTTATTCAAAACAAGACAAAAGATTACTTATTTAAAAGGCTTTAAAAAATAGATTTGGAAGAAGTGTGTTTGGCGATAACAAGAATCAACTGTAGTGTCATGTGAAAAGATCAAATTTGAGAGTTTGGGATTGCTCTATGGAAAGTAGAGGTTCCAGAGTTTTGAGCCCTTTTTGTCTGAGTTGTCCTGAAGTAAATCATGCTACATTGTGACAAAGAACCCAGACGTAGCTCTGTGACTGTCTTCCTGGCAGGCTGGCTGCGTCATTGCAGAATGCAGAATCCCCAGTGAGGAGCACCGTTGCTCTGTCCCTAAGCATAATGAATGCCTGAGAGGAAAGGGAGGTGGCTTATTCTGTGGCTCAGACATTGCTCCCCCTCTTGCTTCATAACCCAGTTTTAAAATAATTAACCCTAATTAAGCCTGAACTAACTCCTGAGTCAAACAAGCACCCTAACTGGATGATGAGGGAAAGTCTTTCACTGGGGACTGAGAGCCCTAAAGATTTCCTCCTGCTGGATAAGAGACAGTCATCCCAGGAACTGTCTTGGTGTCACTTCCCAGTCGCCCAGAGCTCTGCTCTCCTGAAGGTACAAATAAGATCCGGGGAGCTCCACACTGCCAGAAGGAAGAGCTCAGACCTCACCCGCACCACAGCTTCCAAGGTAAGTGAAACTCTAGATTCTTCTGCTTACTCAGGGGTGCCAGGAGCCAGGAAATTTTCTCGTGAAAGAAGGATCACTAGCCAGATTAGTCATCACCCATCACCCCCTTAGGGCTTTCTGGGTGCTTCTTTAGAGGGGTGAATGTTAGATGCAGTTAAGTTAGACAGAAATATTATAGAGTCAGATAGAACTGGGACCATGAAGAAGATGAGATACTTTGCTACTGCAGGGGAGACAGCACCTCTGCTGTGGGCCAGATCTCAAGAAAAAAGAAAAAACAAATTCACCTACATCCTTTGGAAATATGCATGTGTCTCTGACTAACCAGGCTTCTATGCAGATGGTCTTGGCAGCCTAGACACTTCCTGTGTGTTTTGATGTCTAAAGGCAATGGTCACAGGACAGGAAGAGTAGGGTCCAGTTCAAGTTAGAAGGTTTCCGAAATGTTGAGGCTCTGTCTCTCTGTGTAGAGTTGGATGTCAGCAGGTGCTCTGGCTTTGGGCAAGAATCTGTGCTGCTCCTGTGCAGGGAATCAGAAAGATACAGGACTCTTGGGTTTCTACAATAGTTTCCATTAATTTCACCTCCAATCTTTTGATTCATTTTGATGAGAAAAAGGATAAAATAGCAATGACACAGTTTCAAAACAGGTTGGTAGGGCAATTGCAATAGTTAATATCTTTCATATCATTGTCTTCATAGTAGTTATTCAGAGGATAAGATGCAGACATGACATTTTGTCTAAACAATATTAGTACAACTCTTTCTTCTCAATAAACTAAGAGAAAGTATCTATATATGTATCCTATCATTATGTATATATATCATATCATATATATATATTTAATTTCTCTTTTCTTTCTGTTTTTTCACAACAAAACTGTCCTTTATTTATACTTTTATAAAGTTATTAACATGTGACATAAGGTTATCTAGCAAATATTAAGTGACCTTAAACAGACAGGATGTTTATCTCAAGACTGAGGTAGCTTGTTTGCTTTAGGCAATGAGGCCTAGTTCCACATACACATGTTTGATCAATTTCCTAACTTCTGTAGCTCCCAACATATTCCCCCTTTTTTTTCAATCATGTATAGTATGACTAAGGAGAGTCATCTAGAGAAAAATTCTCTCAAGCTTTCACAGAGAATAAATAGGCTAAGCAATGGCCTTAACTCATTCAGATGACTGACATTGACAAAAGATCCACAGGGTGTTGTGCATAATTCCAGGGTAAATCTCGAGGGGATTTGACTGATATTATCAGATAGCAAAAGCTCCAATTTTAGTTGTTAAGGTCTTGCCTTAACTTGGTCTTAACCATTTAACAGAAATGTGCAACCACATGGTATAAAATGTAAAGCTATATTAGTATGCTGAGCTATAAAAGGCTCAAGTCAACAATTTTTGACAGTTTCCCATTGTGCTGACAACTCACTATTTTTATGGACTATTGGACTATATTGTATTATTTTGCTTAATTCGAGAACTTACAATCTTTGCACCAGAATAAAGTATGAAAAGGTCCTTTAAAACTTCTCCACACAGCACCCCTAGCTGCAGTCCACCTCCAGTCTTACATAGAACTTGCCTCCATGCATATCATTTCCTGCTTTAAAAGTTGAGCATTTCATTTCTGATGCTCTTTTACCTTTCAAAATGGGCCTTGTTTATATTTGTGTATGTTACAAATCTCTTATTGCATTCCTGTTTAATTTTAGATTTATATTTCTATATCCATTAATAAATTTTCCAAATGCAAGCACACAATATTATAATATTTTTAATTAATTAATTAATTTACTGCTTTTTGAGATATGATATTGCTTTCTAGCCCAGGCTGGCATTAAACTTCTCAAGTTCTTCCTGCTCCAGTTTTCAGCATGCTGGTGTTATACAGTTGTGCCACCGCAGCCCATGTTGAATTATACTTGTAGGTTAATTTATTATACTACTTTTATTATGGCAACTATTATTAATGATTCAGGAGAAAAATATAGTTTGTCTTTGAAGAATATGTAACAATAATAACTCAAGGAGCAATGATATCATGTTTTATTTTGGAAAATAGGCCAGCATAGTCTCCTCTGCTTGTGCTTTTTGGTGCCATCAGATCCGGGTGCCATTTATAGTCTACCTAAATGCAAAGACTGAATTTTATTTATTATTTATTATTTAGTATTTATTTATTTATTTGTGGTACCAGGGATCGAACTCAGGACCCTGTGCTTGCCAGGCAAGCACTTATTCTACTGAGTCATCTCCTCTGCCCAAGACTGGATCTTAAAGTACTTCAACAAACTGTTTTCTAAAACAGTCAGGAAAATGAGTTCTTCCTCCCTTTGCTGACATTGTCATTTCATGAGAAAGAAGGAGTCTTCAATGGATATCACATAACTGGTCCTAAAAGTCACTAAGAGGTCAGGGTTTGGGGCAAATAATAGTAAGCTTGCCAAAAGGAGCCTGGTTCTGACACAGAAAGACAAAATTCAACAGGATGGAGTTCAAAGGCCCATTAGGATATTGTGATGGGTGGAGTGCAGAGATTGCTAACAAACTACACTTTCTCACTGAACACTTGATCACTATTCCTGACTCATAGCCTGTGCATACTTTTCCAATGCTGTAGCATTTCATGGAGTGGTGTCTGTTATCCCTGCAGAAACACGAGAGACAATTCCCTTTGCCAGGGGAGGGCTGGAAGGCACAGAGGATCTTCCTCCAGGCCTGAAGTCAGCGAGTGTCAAGGCTTGGAGAAATCCTGGTCTGGCAGTTCCTGTCATCAGAGGCCTCAGGACAGGGAAATCTAAGGCAGTCCTTCCATATTCTGTAGCTAGTAAGAGTGTATATACAGAAAGCCAGCCCGTGCACTGTGTCTCTCACCTTTACAAATTGTATAGATTTTATAAAAGGGTAGGATTTATTTCACTCTGGGCAATATGCCTGTATTTTGATAAATTTCAAAAGGAAACAGCATGTGTCATATGTGAATACAAACACATTCCTATAGCTAACAATGTTGGATCAAAGACAGGTAAAACATGTCGCAAATTTCACTAAAATATTTTTTGCAGTCATACTGGGACATTCTGACCCCCTCTTTGAGTGACCTCTTTTCATGCCAGCATTGCCTCAACCATCTTTGTTAAAAAGTGCAGTAATTGGGGTGTCTTTTGTCTTAAATTGTTATAGGTGAAGGACCCCACACAGCCCTGAATTACCTGCCTTGTCCTAGTCCTCTTCGGTAAATGTGAGTGTGTGAGAACCGGGCCTGGCTCCATCGGAGTCCACAAGGTCTCCAAGAGAGCTCAGATCTTTGCTCAGATCTTGAAGAAAACTGTTCCAGACTTCTTCTAGGACACTGTCCCTGTTATTGCCAAGTGTTTATATAATACTTTTCCAGAAAGAGATTCATTCCTGATGGATTTTACCTGAGTCAACTTTACTTTTTGGTTGCTATGTAGAGTGGTGCTCCTTCACACTTGATAGGAAGGTTACAAAAGATTTACAATCAGTGAGTCTGGAAGTCAGTTTGGGGTGCAGAGAAAAAGAAATATTTATGCATGTGCATAAAATATGAAGAATTTAGAAGCAGAAAAATAAATTGAAAGAACCCTGGAAATTGAACTGCCCCTCAAATTAGAAACAGAAAGGAATGTTGATGAAGACAAAGCACACTATGTCCGGGATGACGCGACCACATGAGACACTGGCTAAGGAAGATGAAGGAACGGGACTTCAAAGCGTCTTATGTCACTGAGGGAAGGCAAACAGAGTAAGGTGGAGATTCAGGACACTGGAATTCAATCAGGGGAGCAGAGAATGAAAACAGAGAAATTCTGTCAGTGGAGTTTGGGCTCAATTTATCTCTAAGGACACTAAATGTAGGTGGGATATAGAAGGATTGGAATAAATAGATTGGTTTTTAATATGGAGGGAAATACAGTGGCTGGAATGAAAATTGCCATGTCTGAGTACTGTCATTCAAGTTAGCATTTGAGACTGCATAGAATAATACACACACTGTAAAAGGAATAGATCCTTTTTACAAAAGAGTACATTTTATCTAAAACATGAATTTCCCCCATACTCCAAAAAATTGTTATTCTATGAAATACTTTCTGCAGATACATACTATCATTATTGACACTTTCTTCAAAAGGTGTTTGCTGAATCCAACCTTTTCTTTCAGTGCTGTAAGAAATGATTTTGAACCTTGGCAAGGGGACAATCCTTGCCTTTCTGACTGGACTGGGCACTGTGGGGAACACCGTTGTTCTCGAAAGTCACACACGCATGTATCGGGGCTCTGAGAAGAAAGCCATGCACCTTATTCTCATCCATTTGGCCTTCACGAATATCATAATGCTTCTGTCCAAAGGCATTCCAAGGACAATAGCTGCTTTTGGGGTGAGACACTTCCTCGATGACACAGGCTGTAAGGTCGTGTGCTACCTGGAGCGGGTGGCCCGGGGCCTCTCCATCTGCACCAGCAGTCTCCTCACGGTCTTCCAGGCCTTCACCGTGAGCCCCAGTCACTCCAGGTGGAGGAGGCTCCAGCCCAGTTCTTCACGATACATTCTTCTTTTGTTTCCCTTCCTCTGGATATTCAGTTTTTTGACGAACATCAACTTACTCCTTTACATCACGAGTGCTAGTGAGAACACATCACAAATTAGCACGAGTGACTACTATTGTTACTTTCAGCCAGAAAGTCAGAAGGTACGATTGATGATTCTTGGTACCATGGCCTTCCGGGACGCTGTGTCTCAGGGCGTCATGTGCGGCGCCAGTGGCTACATGGTGCTTCTTCTCCATCAGCACCACCAGCGTGTTCTCCAGCTGCGGAGCTCCAAGGTCCTCTGCAAAACTCCCGCCGAGGTCAAAGCTGCCCAAAGTGTTCTCCTTCTGATGCTCTGTTTCCTCCTCTTTTATTGGGCAGATTGTGTTTTTAATCTACTTCTGAATTTCTTCCTTGAGAATAATCTCATATTAAATTTTAAAGAATTTCTCACCCTTGGTTACGCGATTCTCAGCCCCTTTGTGCTGATTCACAGAGATGGACATGTAGCTGAATGCTGCTCTTCTCAGAGGGAGAGAGGGACTTTCAGAAAATATTTACTACCTGCATGCTTTCCATAAATAAGTTGAAATAATTCTTATTTTATTATCTGCTATATAATAAAAATCCAGGTAATACAGCTGAAAAATATAGTTAATTGTCATGCATCAGTGCTGGTGACTGCAGGCTGAGAGCGACCTCCTTGGAAGAGAGCCCAGGGTGCTGGCGCTGCAAAGCCTGCATCCAGCAGACAGCCGCGAAGTTTCCTGCTAGATGCTTCTTTTGTCGGCACTGCTTGTGGTAAGAAGTGCTGCAAAGTCATTGCCTACTAAATGTGTTCCCCAAGAATCTCATTCCAGAAACTATTTTGAGATAAATGTGTTTGTATGAGACATATAAAAGGAACAATGTCTTTTCCAGTTCTGCTTTGACGATAAACTTAAGTATTCAGTGAAATGGCTGTTTTGGTTGTTTTTATTAAGCTTGTTTCTTAAACTCCTATTAGTACTCATTTGCAGTACAGAATGATTGTAATCTCTGTAGAGAATTAGCATACATAATTAAGATATTTTGGTTCCTTTTTGCCCTCCCTTTCCCCATTTTATGTTTGCAGTAACATGTTCATTTATTTGCTTTACAAGAACTTAGGAACTTATTATACATACAAAAAAGAAGCCAGACCGAAGCAACAAGATCATATAAAACATGTAAGCCCACGACACAAAGTACAGGTACACTTTCAGCCCTGGGCCTGGTCACACATTCACTTTTCTGTTTTATGACATTTGGGAGACATGAAAGCCTTGGCAAGTGTGATTGCCTGTTCTCAGAGACATTTTTTAGAAAGGAAACAGAAGGTAGAATTTCCCTGTTCTATTTTTTCTGAATTGCAAATAGTTTAAATGGATTTTTTTTTTATTTTTATTTTTTGACAGAACCAAGGATTGAACTCAGGTCCTTGCACTTGCCAGGCAAGCGCTTATTCTACTGAGCCATCTCCCAGCCCCAATTTTTTTATTTTTAAAGGAGAGTACAAATTAGTGGCAGTTTTGTATAGAAGAGTGGGCGGAAGAATTCCAGTGTGCATTTGAGGTGGTGTAGCAAGTCTCCACATGAGCAGTCACACTGAGCCTGACTTTAGGAGTTGTGTGTCTGCAGAGCTGCTCAGAGACGGAGAGGAACGAGAAGCAGTAACCCACCAGAGCGAAGCTGTGAATACAGCCTCACTGCTCCTCCTCAGTCAGGTAAATTGGAAAGCATCATGTAGACCTTGGGGGACACTATGGAGGCACACAAAGGGGTGCAGGGATGTCATTTTCAAGAAATGATGCAATTGTGGCTTATCATGTTACAGAAATTAAGCCCAACTACAAGAAATTTAAGTTGCACACATTTTCCTATAAGAAAAAAGTGCAACATACATAAGTGTGTGCATGCACACATGTGATAAAGAGCAGGTGACATAGGTGTGGGCAGAGAGTCCAGAAGGTCAGGAGGGGCTCGGAGTGGAAGCAGTGCGGGGGGGCGGGGCATGACACCAAGCAGATCACCATGCGCCACCTGCAGGCTTCACACTCCCCATCCAGGCCTTGCTCTTCCGTAGTACTAGTGTGCACCAATAAACGAAGCACCTAAAGGAAAACCATCAGTGTGTGTGATAGCGACCTAAACATTTGTGTTCCTCACAGAAGTTTCTTCCATGAATAAATGACAACTGGTGTTTCCATCACTTGCCATATGGGTTTAAAGCCTCTCTCTGTCTCTGTCTCTGTGTCTGTCTCCATCTCTTTCTCCCTCTCACTCGATCTCTGTCTCTCTGTCTCTGTCTCTGTGTCTGTCTCCGTCTCTCTGTCTCTGTCTCTGTCTCTGTCTCTGTCTCTGTCTGTCTCCGTCTCTGTCTCTGTCTCTGTCTCTCTCTTTCTCTCTCTGTCTCTCTGTCTCTCTGTCTCTCTCTCTTTCTCTGTCTCTCTGTCTCTGTCTCTGTCTCTCTCCCCCCTCCCTCTCCCTCTCTGCCTCTTTGCTCTCTGTCAGATCAGATTCCCCCACACTCCACCCTGCAGAGCCAACACTGGAACCATTGCCCCCACTACAGCCACTATCAACTGCCGTCACTGCAGGCTCCCACTCAAGTGCCTCCCCCACTGACTGCTACTGACCACTACCAGAGCCTAAAACTGCAGCCATTGCTTTACCTTCTGACCTGTTAACTTTCAGGAGCTAAAGGGATACCTCGCTCTCTCTGTGCTCCCTCTCCCCTTGCCTTACTTGACCACCTCCTTCCAGTTACAAAAAAACAACTAATAGCACATTTCCCCCCATCGGCGTGTGCCCCTCCCTCTGCTATCAAGCTGATGGCAGGATAACAGCCCATCTATCCTTCCCTTTCCAGTTGAGCCTGCTGCTCACCCTCATTCCCCTTCCCCTCAGCCCCTTCTGCAGATAGTCTCCTGGTACAGACACAACAAAGAGACCCTAAGTCACAGCGTCCCGCACTGCCTTTACAGTCTTCTGGCCAGCCTGTGAGTGCAGGCCTCACGAGTCTTCAGTGCTCCTCCACTGTGGTGGGCCTGTGCATGCACTCTGCTCAGTTGGCTTGCTCCTGCTCAAGCTTGCTAACTACAAATAAGAGTTTTTTATATTTTTCAAATTCTTCATGTAAGAGGTCTCTGCTAATTGCCCTATAAACACTCTGACTAGTGTCTCATACTTAAAAACTTAAACAGGTCATCATAATTTAACCTGGCCAGAAGTATATTTGAGTGCACTCTGAACATAAAAGTGTTCATGGATGTCATGTATGTTTATATGTCGTTCTGTCAGTAGCTGTTCCTTTTTTTATTTGAGCTCTAAAAACATAGACTAAAATACATGCTTTATCTTGAGTTACCAGCTGGTCTGAATAATATCAAAATTAATTTACAATTAAACAAAAATCATTAAAATGGGGAGAGATTGTTGGACAAGTCTCTTGATTGGTAGAGGGTGGTCAACCTTTGTCATCGATGGAGAACCCCCAATAATCTCCTTAGAGGATACCCCTAATAATTTGGTAAAAGAAAAAAGTTAAGATAAGGATTTCTCATAAAAGTTGCTACATTAAATATATTCATGCCTTTCTCTTATGCTCCAGATACTGATAATAAGAGTCCGGGTGGAGCTTACATGAGGTCATCGGTTAAATGGTAACGAGTCATCTGTTACAACTGTCAAGCAACACTACTACATATGACTAGTGATAGATGTGATGTCTTGGATTTGCATCAAAGTAATTGGAAGTGGATGGAGATGAGACAGAGATATGAGTGAAGTTAGTCACACCCTGAGCCCATCATTGTAAAAGCTGAGTGATAGATGTGGAGAGTTCACAGTGCTATTGTCCCCACAATTAAGCGTGTTTTAAATTGACTATAACAAAAATAATTGCAATAAAAAATAATCTGAACCACACTCAAAAAATTGGTTTGTGATAAAATGTTCAAATCAGTTGAAAAGAGTTGTTGTGCCCAAGGTTACAGGTGTGCACACTATGCAGGGCATAAAGTCCTAACCTTGCTGCCCTGAAATGGGGCAATCAGCAGAGCTGCTTTGGCTTGAGGGCTCCCTGGAAAAAGAGCTGGCTTTTCTTGTAACTGTTTCACTCTATCCAATCTTGCTTCATTCCATCAGTCACCATACTGTCCTCAAACTCATGGTGATCCTCCTGCCTCAGCTTCCCAAGTCCTGGGATTACAGGCCTGGGCCACCACACCCAGCCCACTGCAGCTTTGATTCAAAGACTGTTCCCTGCTCTGAGTAACATATTGGTCATTCTTTTAAGATAGTGATAGATAGTACATTAACATTTGCTATACTCTAATTATTTTAGTATGAAATTTTATTTTATTTTTTATGGAAGTAAGAACACTATTTTCATATTTTATTAATATCTAATTGTGACGTGCCGACATAGTTAAAACTAGACTATTCCCTAAGGAAGATTCTGCTCCTTCATTTTTGCGTCGAGCCAACTGTTTGGGGGATACCCTTCTTGCAACACAGTCACAGTTATGGGAGTACAAGTTGATAAGAGCATTTACTAGAACAGGTCAAAATTTCCCAGGGAAGTTGAAGATGCATATCGCTTATGATGCAACACAATTCCTTGCCTGAGCATATGTTCTAGAGATTTCTCTCACACCGTTCACATTAGTGTTCTTGGGGGAACAGGGAAATGGTAGTGTTGCATGGGGGTGTAGGGACGTCAAGACTTTGAAGGTTCAGTGAAAGACTATCTTTAACAAGAGCAACAAAATAGGTCTGGTGTGGTGGCACGTGCCCCTACGCACAGCTACTCAGCAGGCTCAGGCAGGAGGACCACCAAGATTCAGGCTGGCTTGAGCAACTAAGTGAGACCCTATTCCCAAACAAAATTAGATCAGTAAATAAATATAAAGGATTGAGGGTATAGCTCAGTGGTAGAGCACTTGCCTAGCGTGTGAGATGCCCTTGGTGGAGGATCCCAGGAAAGAGAAAAGATTGCCCCTGTGGAATGAGAGGCTACTTTTGCCTGAGGACTCAGGCTGAGATTTGTGATTGATGCTGCGTTTAGTCTGCGTACCTGAGGCTGGCTGGCGGGAGGACAGTCACATGTGTGCACAGGGCACAACAGGAATGTGCTCTTGTGAGGAGCAGAGGTGTCCAGGTAAGGGGACAGCAGGAGCAAAGCTTCCTGGATGGGCCAGGGCAGAAGGGCTCACAGGCAAGAGGGAATTTCTGCCACCCACCATGAGAGCAGCTGTTAGAAGGCTTGAAAACTGACTGAAACAAGGCAAGTGGGCTGCAGAGACAGAAGGAGTGAGGAGCGGTCTCCAGCAGAGGGAGAAGAGAGTTGATGCTAGTGTGATTCAGGGGGAGTCCGTGACAGCAGCTCCTGTCCTTGGGAACTATGTTCTCATTTTTATAAACATGCTCTAGTTAAAAAAAATGCTTCTAATAAGTGGTGAATAGGACAGGCTAGCTTGGAACAGACTCTGAACTTAGTTACTGGACTTTGGTTTGATTGGCATTCGGTGCTGCTCTCTGATAACCATTACACGTTCTC